TGGGGAGGGCTGCGGCTCAGACCCGGTGTGGGGTCCGAGGAGAGGCACCGGCTGCCCCCTGCTGGACGCGGCAGGCATTGCTGGGAGGGCGTGGTGGGGGTACATGTTCTGTTACGAAACCCCAGAGGCCTTTGGGGGCTCGGGAACTGGAAGATGCCCGTGGGACTTGGAAAGAGAGACGGGTGAACGTGGCCGTGGGCATTAGACGCCCAGCTCCCGCGGATGTGTAGGCAGCGGGTGCGGAGACCCGTGTGGAAGGGAGCAGGTGTGGGCATGAAGCGTTGGGGATGCGCTCTGCACACCCCAGGAGCGTCTAAAGCGTGGGTGGCATCTGGAAGCGAGTCAGAGACACTACGGAAGAAGCCCGAGTTTCCATCGAGGCCTCCCCAACAGTTTGGAAACTGGGGAGTGAAAAGGAGGGTGCCAGCCAAGATGGGCAAAGGAACAGTGAAGGGGGAGGGGGGAACTAGGTGTCCGAGAAGGCAAGTGAGGGGAATGTTTTCGGAAGGAATGATGAACGGGGTTGAATTCTGCCGAGAAGTTGGGTAGGATCAATGCCTTAAAAGTGCTCTGTGGCCAAGCAGCACAGAGGGCTAGGACCTGGGGTCCTCAAACTTTTTAAACAGGGGGCCAGTTCACTGTCCCTCAGACCCGTGGAGGGCCGGACTATAGTTTAAAAAAAGAACTATGAACAAATTCCTATGCACACTGCACATATCTTATTTTGAAGTAAAAAAAAAACAGAACGGGAACAAATACAATATTTGTATTTGCATGTGGCCCGCGGGCCGTAGTTTCAGGACCCCTGGTAGGACCATGTCTGGCTTCACACAGGAGTGCAGCTCCTGACCGTAAAGTAGAGGCTAGATCAGTGGTTCTCAACCTTCCTAATGCTGCAACCCTTTAATACAGTTCCTCATGTTGTGATGACCCCCAACCATAAAATTATTTTTGTTGCTACTTCATAACTGTAATGTTGCTACTGTTATGAATCGTCATGTAAATATCTGATATGCAGGATGTATTTTCATTGTTACAAATTGAACATAATTAAAGCATAGTGATAAATCACAAAACAATATGTAATTATAGATGTGTTTTCCGATGGTCTTAGGCGATCCCTGTGAAAGGGTCGTTCGACCCCCAAAGGGGTCGCGACCCACAGGTTGAGAACCACTGTGCTATTTGAAGTGCTATGCATTAGTGAGTGGTGGGTATGTAGGTGTGAACTGATCAGGCCTCCAGGCTGCCAGGTAAGCAGGAAGAGATGCCTGGGCGATTTCAAATGGAAAAATGGCATTAGCAGGATTGGGAGTGGAAGCAGTGTTTTAGTACAGGGACATATTATTCCAAGGAACCCATCTCAGACTGTACCGTGTGCATGCTTTCAGCGTCATTTCTTATATACCCACTTGCGTTTATTGAAGAAAATCCTGTGAGAGTCGCTCTTCTGTGTACGGAGCTGCAGGGTTCTTATTTTTTAATTAAACACCCATTTCAGTTTATAGAAAACACTATAAAAACACCACTAAGTTTTTCTCAACTACTTGCCCACATGTATTTCCCAAGGTGTGGTATTTTAAGGTTTTGGTTTTGGTGATAAAGTTTTCTACCCAAATACTTACATCCCCACTGTAGACTCAGGGTTATGTGACTTACTGTTGGCATTGCACAAAGAAGTATTAAACTGATCCTTGCTTTCAAGGAAATCATGGATAAAGCAATACAATAATAGAGAACAATACATTATTCTGTGAACAATTACCGTGCATGCCAGGTTATTTGGGAGAAAAAGAAGACTAATAGGTGGGCAGTTAAAGTTTTTTTGGAAGAAGTAGGCCTTCAGTTGAAGAATGTGCCTTATTTGGACAGTTGGGAGGACGGTCCTTTTTTCCCTTTCTAATCAGTACTTTCACTGTTGTGAGAATTAATCATTGAATCTCTTTCTGAAGAACATCAGCATTATCATGGCCGTAGCTGGAATATCATTACTTCTAAGAAGTGTTCGGCTGGTAAGTTAAACAATGAACAAGACATTCTGAGAAGCAGTAGACAGTTACTTTTTTCTCACTTCAGTTTTTATATCAAGCAGGGTAGCATTTTGTTATTCATCGTAGAAACTTTAAATAGTATTTTAGGACAATGAACAATTAAGCTCTTGTTGAACAGTAACACACCCACAGTATTTTGTATGGCAAGTAATTGCACATCCTGTATTTCCGTAATCACTTTCTTCATGGTTAAAAGGGAATCTGAAAAGGATTTAGTTTGCGAGAATGGTATAATCACTAAATTTGCATTTCCGACATTGTGGAATATCTCAAAACTGGTTTCTATAGCAGTTTCAGATTTAGATCAGAGTTAAATTATGTCTCTCTGAACTAAAAAATTTATGCTTCCTCTAATTTGCAACACTCTTTAAGATCAGTTGTGCAATGAATAAAGCAACATGCCCAGTATAAAAAATAGTTTATGCTTTCAGTTAGCATATTTTTTTTGCACTTTCAATACAGTTTTAATAATAAACACTTTGTGGAAATTCGTTTGATATTTCAAGACTTACAAGTTTTTTTTATAACTGTACTTGCTATAGGATGTAATTTTAATGTCATGTTGCAATTGGACATGGATTTCTGGTTTCTGTATTTATTTATTTCCTACACTTATTACTTATATATTGTTTTATATTATCATTGACTACATAGCATTACTACACTACATCTTTTCCAATTGTTGCCTTTCCCCCCTAATTCCATGTCAGCACTTTTATCTTAAGTGCCTTGAACTTACTATCAATTCTTTTTAAAGAGAGAGAAAGAGAAGAAGAAACATTGGTGTGGGAGAGAAACATTGATCAGTTGCCTCTCATTAGTGCTCTGACAGAGAATCAAACATGCAACCTTTCAGAGTAGAAGACAATGCTCTGACCAAGTCCAAGCCAATTGTTTTGTAGAATGTCCCACAGTCTGGGGAGTGTGTTTCCTCATTAGATTTAGTGTGAACAAGAAGGTGGTGTATACTTCTTATTATATTGCATCAAGAAGCTCATTGATGCCTGTTTGTCATATAATAGTATGACACATAATTTAATTAATGATCTCTTAGTATTTCAGACCCAGTTCATATTAAAATTTCTTTGATTGTCTCAGTAATGTCTTTTTTAAGTAGATGATTTATTCAAATCAGGATTCAGATGGTCCAGAAATTGTGTTTGTTATATCTCTTAAGTCTCATTTATTTTATAACAATTCACCATACCCATATTTCCCACCAAGCCATTGATTTGTTAGAAGAGTTACCATTGAGTGTTCCACATGCAGAATTTGTCTGCTACAACATTTTTCTTGTGTGTAACTTTTTTTTGGTAATGTTTAGTTCAACTTTACTCTCTTAGGAAGTTGGGTACTAATTTATCCTACATATGTGTAGCTCTTAGTTAGTCATGATTATGAATGAAGCTCATCCCTGTGTCCCTATAGTATTGTTAATGTGGACGAGATAGGTATAAAATATTGACTAACTCTAGGGCTTTAGGTATTTAATTAAATTTCTAATGTTGACCTTTTTTTGTAATTTTTCTCCTATGAGATAAAAAATAACTAAAAAAAAAAGTCTTGTTGATTAAAAGTGCTATTTTAATTTGACTCAGTTTGGCTTCGGTTTTCCCAGCAGTACCTGTGTGAGTAGATTGCACATCTGTGGGATAGGATAGTGACTATTTAACCAGACTTGTGTGATGCAAGGTACAGATATATATTCATTATACTCACTTCTTTTTGATGAATTGTGTTATATTTTGAGGATGTAAGCTTTTAGAAGTTAGGAATCTGTTCAGTGTGCACTATATAGTAGTTTGAAATAGTAAAATGATGACAAAGATTTCTAAAGAATGCCCCTATAAACACTTTTGATTAAATGATATTAAATATTAATATAAAATTAAGAACCAAATAAAAATTTTTCAGTGGCTGTCTTCTTGTTAAGTGTTTAATAATTTAACACAATTTTAAAGTGAATAATAACAAAATGTTGTATTTTTCTCCTTGTAAATCATCAGACATCAAAATTTACAAGTTCTTCAGACATTCCAGTAGAATTTATAAGAAAGAATGTTAAACTACGTGGACGATTACGCCGACTAACTGAGGATGTTTTAGAAATTGAACATATTCCTATTACTTTACCTATTATATCGTCATGGAGAAGTAAGTAAGGTGCAAGTATAATAAGACTGAATAACTATTTAGTGTTCCTTTATTAGAAGTTATTTATAAAATAGCAAAAAAATTTGATTTTAATTTTTAATAACTCTAAACTCTTGGACTTAACATACAAGGAACTGTTTAATTTAGCTCCAGATTTCCTTTCTTCCTTCCCTCCCTTTTATCAACTACTCATTATCTTATTCAGGGATTCAAGCATTCATTCCACAAATATTAAGGGCCTATTGTTGATTTATTCAAATCAAGATTCAGATGTGTTCTAGGCCCTATACTAGCTGTACAGTGCTGAGTGAAACAAGACCACTCTACCTCTTGGAGCTTACAGTCTAGGTGGAAGATGGACAACAAACAAAAGAAAATTGTTCTTAGAGCTGTAAGAGAAGGAGCTGGGTGCTAGGATGTGGATTATTGGGGATGATGTAAAGCAGGAACCTATACCTATGAAATGGTCATTGAGGAGTTGCTATTTAATCAGACACCTGAAGAATGAGAGAACGTGTGTGGGAATGAGCTTGGCTCTTGTGATAAGCCATTGAAGACTCAAGTGGCTAGGGCATAGGGAAGAAGGGGATAAGGAGGGCTGGGCAGGGGCTGGTTCTTTCCTCCTCAAATTCCCATCCTGTTGTGGAGACTGAAGTAGGTTTTTGAAATTATTCTATCTGTTATATACTTGTCTTCTTTTAAAAGAAAACTTGAGTATAGAAATAAATAGACTTACATCTAGAGAACCTGGGTATTTATAAATAAACCATACATTCAATTGGTTTGGGGAGGAGTGGGTAAATGATTTTGAAATTTGCGTTCACAACACAGTATTAAAGCTACTCTCTTCTCTACCTAACCTTTTTAGAAGAGCCCTGTGGTGTTTTGCTGGTTAAGCTGGCTGGAGTAGAACTCACGAAATCTGGGAAAGTGTGGTTACAAAAAGAACTAAAACCTTCCCAACTACTGTGGTTCCAGCTTCTCGGAAAGGAGAATTCAGTACTCTTTTGCTACCTTTTAGTGAATAAGGTAAGTAGGGTGAAGAAATAATAAGCAACATTTTATTCTTTTTATTTACACATTAATATGCCATTAATTAGAACAGTGATGGCGAACCTTTTGAGCTTGGCGTGTAAGCATTTTGAAAAACCCTAACTTAACTCTGGTGCCGTGTCACATATAGAAACTTTTTGATATTTGCAACCATAGTAAAACAAAGACTTACATTTTTGATATTTATTTTATATATTTAAATGCCATTTAACAAAGAAAAATCAACCAAAAAAATGAGTTCACGTGTCACCTGTGACACACATGTCATAGGTTCGCCATCACTGACTTAAAACATTGGCTATATAATGGGACTGAATATGTTTGTCTTTTAAAACTGCTACTCGTAGTGATTATGTTTAGAGAATTAGATGTTTCATATGTAAATTCTGTTATGAAATTTTAGTTTATTATAAAAAATAATAAACTTTAGTTTATTATTATATATGTTTATTATAAAAAATAGAAAATTAAGATGAAGGAAAAATTTAAAATTATTGACTCTAAACATTGCTAATTTAAGGAAAATCTTTTTTGAGTAGTTTTTCTTATTTTTAAAGTTCCTTATCCTATCTAATAAAGACAGAATATGCAAATTAACTGTCACTCTGTCACAAAGATGGCAGCGCCCTGTCCCCTCAGTCCCTCCGGAGTTGTCCTCTTAGCCCTCACCCCGGTGAGGGGCAAGCAGGCCCCCACAGAGAGCAGACAGCAGGGCCCTGCTTGGCCCTGGCCGTGGTTGCGAGGGGCAAGCAGGCCCCCGCAGAGAGCAGACACCAGGACCTGTGGTGGCGACAAGCAGGAAGGTCTGCAGAGAGCAGAGAACCATGGGGAGTGGGCCTAAACTGTCAGTAGGACATCTCCCGTGGGCTCCCAGATTGGAGAGGGTGCAGGTCAGGCTGAGGGCCCCCCCCCCCGCCTCCCCTCCCTTCCGTGCACCGGGCCTCTAGTTGTATAATAAACAAGAATAATTTGAAGAAACAATAACCTTAATTATTAGAACCCCGCGGATGTGGCTCAGTGGTTTGGTGTCAACCCATGAACCAGGAAGTCACAGTTCAATTCCAGGTCAGGGTACATGCCCGGATTTTAGGCTTGATCCCCATTGGGAGCATGCAGGAGGCAGCTGATGGATGGTTCTTCCTCATCATTGATTTTATATCTCCCTCTTGCTTCCTCCCTCTGAAATAAATAAAAACATTTTTAATAAGTGATTAGAATGGTAACTACTTTAATTCTTTAGTTTTTGAATTATTTATAGAAAGCCTAATGGAATCCATTATTTTTTTGCATGTCCAGATCATATTCATTTCTATCAAAATAAGAATTATCCAAAGCATCTTGCATTTAAAAGTAAATTGATGATACAGAATCATGTAAGAGATGCCAAAGGCATTTCAAAATATCATCTTCTTTTTTAAATTGAGGAATATATTTTATTTATCTTCAAAACCACCCTATAGAGTCACTGTTTATATTCCCATTCACAGATGGTGATACCATTGTAATAACCTGGCTATTATTTAACAGAAAAGGAGGAAAGGGAAGGTTAAATAACATAGGTATGCCATTTATACAGCTTTGCCAAAAAGTTGTATTTAACACTCCCAAGTCTGTCGCCTGCTGAGCCAGGGGGGAAGGGACTGTTGAGACACATGCCCAGTAAAGTTCTGAGTGACACAGGAAGGTGCTTTCCCGTCAATCACATCTGGGAACAGGCAATTGGCCAGAATAGGCGTGGCCACTACAAGTGCTCGAAACCTGAATATTTAAACTTCCAAACAAAGGAAGTTCCTTCCTTCTCTCTTTTCTTTTCTGGAGCCCCGTTCAGGGCTCTTCTGTGGCAGGGATGTGCTCCCCTGTGCCCATGTGGTTCACCGCCAGGAGGCACGCCACAATGAATTAATGGGCTTTAATGAACTTGGATGCTAACCTACACAGGGCTACAGCAGGTATTGAAGCTCTGGACACCGGCCTAGCTTCTGGCTTTGCTGGAAGCCCACTACACCTTTTCCAGGACTGGCTTAAGGGGCAGGGGAGCTTACAACCCGAGAAATACAACTTTATGCAAATAAAGCCTCCTCCACATCCCAGCCTCCATGGGGGCTTCTGAAAATGCTTATTTCAGCTGTATCCCAAGAACCTTATTCCCACTTGTGCCTGGGAACTCTGGCCCATTCATTCTTCCCGCAACAACGGGAGGCAGGGTAACCAACTGTATTCAAGCCCAGCTCTTTCTGGCTTCTGAGCCCACACTTCACCTTGTGTATTTTACCTTATATTGCTTCCTAGCAGGTGACCAAACTGCTATATGTATATTATGGTAATTTACACATCTGTTGAATTTTGTTAATGTGTGAGGTTGAATTTTAATTATTCTGATTTTGGTGTAAGGGAATGAGCTCTTAAAATTTAAATGATTGAGAAAAATATGATAAACTTTAAAAAAACTGTACTTATTAACTCCTATACCAAAACTTACGGTATTTATTTTGTGGGATTTTTTTTTGTTAATCCTTACCTGAGGATATTTTTCTATTGATTTTTAGAGAGCGTGGAAGGGAGGGGGAGAGACAGAGAGAGAAAGAAATATTGATGTGAGGGAGACACATCAATTGGTTGCCTCCTGTATGCACCCCAACCTGATCCAGCCTGCTATCAAGATACATGCCCTTGACCGCAATTGAACCTGCATCTCTTCAGTCCAAGGGCCAATGCTCTATGCACTATGCCAAACTCGCTAGGGCAAAAGTTACTGTATTTAAAGGAGCAAAAGGTTACTTTTTCTTTAGATATTCCTAGAAAACATCTCCTACTTTAAACCTGGAGTTTTCACATTTTTAGAATTTAACTGTAAATTACTTGTCTAATGAAGCTATGAAATTATTAATACAGTAATTTGTTAAAGTCCCACAAGGAGTATAGAAATAGCTCATCAGGATCTCCTTTACTTTGTAACTGAGTCGGTTGTGGGGAGAGGAAATCCCATGTATCCAGTTTTACTAGGAAGTGAGGGATTCCATGAATGAAATTTTCTGAAGGATGAAGATTCTAGGTCAGGCCTATTTTTATGTTAATTATTTTGTGGAAAGTCTTTAAAAAATTCATTTACATGCTAGCGCCTTCCAAAATGCTGGAATTCAGAACCTAATTTAATATTTTCATGATGATTCAGTTCATTTTGCATTTGCTTACTTTTTTAGTTTCTTTTACTGTGGCCTTCTGTCAGTTTGCCTATCTTATATGATCCATTCCTCTACAAAACAACAAACAAAAAACCTGCTTTTTATACATTTTACTGCTTCTAAGCCTCTTTGGGTTAGAACAGCGAGGCTGAGAATGATATGTTATAAAACGGGCAACTGAATTTGAGCAAGTATCTCTTCTAGTGATGAAATTCTTGAAATATAAATTAGCTGTTTTAAGCCCTTGGGGACCCTTTTGCTTTTTGGCTTTTCTCTGGAGGACTAAAGTTGCTGAATGACTCAATTTAAAATAAATAGGTGGTATGGGCTTACTAGCAATTTTCTTAAATAATTGGGTTGTGTTATTTTTCCTTGCAGGGTAGATTTTTTAATGTGAATCTAAATGAAGACATTTTGAGAAGAGGCCTTGGCAAAACTGTTTTTGTTAAAGGACTAAATCATGATTCTAAAATGTATTGGAAAATTCACAAGCGCTTACTTAAAGCTGAATTAACAGCCTTAAAAAAGGGAGAAGGAATATGGAAGGAAGAATATGAAAAAAAATCTTATTTGGAAAAATTCAAAGAGTCCTGGGGAGAATATTGGAAGAAAGATAGTTATTTAAAAAAAATTGGATCAGATTTCAACCTGAAAAAAGAAAGTTATTATGACAAATTTAGAAGTACTTATGAAGCATGGAAAGACAACTCCTTAATACTGAAGTTCAGAGAACTTATGAGTCGCATACACTTTCGTAGAAAAGGGTGAAATATTCCAAGAGGTCTAGAGGTGACCTACTCTGAAAACAGTAAAATATCTAACTATATGGACATATTTCATTGAGTTGAAATGGGAATTTCTCAAAATGACCAAGTTGTATTTTCATGGTATTTAAATATTTAAGAGATGATTATTATAAAGGTGACATCAGAATAATTTAAACAAAATGTGATTAATGTAATATGCTTTTAGGAAAAATTAAACACTCTATAAAAATGTACCAGGTTGGGGGATATATACATGTTGTGCTGATATTTGAAGAGATTTTAATTGTATGGGTCATTGTGTTCTTTAGTTATTTTGGGCAGCCATATTTAAGTTGTTTTTTTTAAGAGAATATTTCTTCCAGTTTTATCAACTTTGATTATTTATAATAAAGGAGCTGTTTATAACCCATGTCTGAGGCTACTCTTTTCTCTCATCTGCTTACTGTTTTTAATTTGGGGCAGTGCTACTAGAGAAGTTCATTCCATTCCTAGAAAAAAAAGAACGGCTAATTTCTACCTGTTTTTAGATGAGGAAGACAAAATCTTGAGGACAATTATGAAGGAAATAATCGTGAGGATAAAAAACAACATGCTTAGGATGGCAGCAGAAAATAGAATAGAGATGCCTTATGGCATTGCTGAACTCCTCAAGTAGCCAACCCTTGGAAGATCTTACCTCCCAACTTCTCATTGTGTGAAATAATAAATTTGTTTATTTTAATGCCAGTTTGTTAATTTAGGACTTGGTACATACTTGCTGCTAAAATCATCCTGACAGTACAAAGCTTCTTTTACAAAGCCGACAATAATCCCCAACATCCACAATGTCTGTGGACCTTGTTCTTAATGATGTGCAATACTGACAAAAGTCAGAAGCATCATCTGGTCCAAATAGTTGGCTCCTTGAGAATCAGTAATCCAGAGTGAGAGGTTAACTGCTGCTGCCTGGTTAAAATATAACAACATGGATTTCCCAACATTAATTTTTAAGTGAGGTCACATGTTTTCCAAAGATTTTCTTTGTGTGTGTGACTTGATTTCATCACATTTGAGTTAGAAAAAGATGTTATGTTACTGATTCAAGGTTCCGATGCCTGATGGTTCAAAAGGCCAATATTCAAAATGTCAGTTTGGAGTAAAGAAAGGTTTGTTAATTGAGAAGGTGCCAGCTTGAGAAGCTGGGGCCTTACAGCCTCTGCAAGTCCACTTTACAAGAGTCCAGAATTCAGGCTTCTTTTATGTGACAGGAACGGAGAACGGAGAACTGGAGGTGGGGTGGGGGGGCGGACCAAGAAGTATGTGACACCTAGGCCCCAACAGGGATCAAAGAAAGAGCATGAAATCTCTAAATCTTTTTGTTCCTGGTCTCTTTGATCCCTGCTAATCTGAGTCTGATCTTGAGGCTCCTGCAAATCTTTGCCAAAAGCTCAAGCCTCAAGCAGAATTCCCTTAATAATTAGCATATCTATAATTATGTGCAGGAACCATTCTCCTGAAGGCCATGGGAAAAGCACAGGCTAGCTAGAATTAAGGTAGAGTCAGAGAGAGCACAAGCGTTTCGGTCTGTTAGGATTACATACTAGTTTTTATTATCTGGGTCTGAAGCCTCAATAGCTCTTGGTTTTGTTTTAAAGGGATGTTTTTTATTTATGGAGAAGTTAACAGTACATTTAGATGAGTTTTGTGACAAGCTCTTGAGCCATTTGTATTTGCAGGTTGTTTCCAAGTGATGTCAGATCTCATCCTAGTTAACACTGTAATTAGTTCTGATGACCTTTACCAGCTCAGCCAGTGTACAATTGTCTTTCCAGTTAAGCCAGGTGCAGGTGAGGCGGTACAGGTCTTTAGATGATACGGTCTAACCTTTTCCTGGATGATGCAGTAAGGAACTGATTTTATGGACAAAGTGGGCAAGAAGAAAAATAGACCACTGGGACCCCTGTCATGTGCAGTCACCATTTGCTGAATATTCTTGTTCTCCACTTAAACAGTGGCATGATTAATATCTACTTGAAGGTTAGGAAGAATCCCATGGGCCAGTAGCGTTTATCTGGGCCAACAACCTCTGCTCTGTTCTTTGTCTCTGGTGCCTATTGTAGATAAGCTTGTTTGATGACAAAAGGGCAGGGTGAACTAGATACTTGCAGAGAGGCTAGATCTTTGTCACTGGAGATGTTTATGACAGGGCCATTTGAAAAAATGGATAACTTACTTTTAGGCTGAATTTCTGACTAAAGCCCAGGTTCTTTGCCTTCCTCAAATAGAGGATTTACTATTTCTTGGTCTCTCTCCTGACTTCAAAACAGAATCCATGACCACCTTTCCCCCCCTGGCCTTCTTTCCTTTGGCATTTGGGTATGTAGGCCCCATTTCCTTTTAAAATATATTTTTATGAAATGAATTTAGTTCTTACTGTTTTTCTAGAGGATTGGATTTTTACAACCCTTATCAATCTATTTTCTTCTAGGTCCATATTTCCTTTTTTAGGTTTTATTTGTTTTTCATTTCCCAATCAGACTTCTTACACATGAGATGTTGACAGCAATGCCAGCTTTATCATAATGAATGATGAATAAAACTTAGAAGGAGAGTAAAAACAATGCCCAAACACATGATCTGGCACTGTTAGGATTGGGCAGCTAAAAGCATATCCTAGCAACCAGGGGAAAACAGACAACCAGGGTCTCCTTACACTTTGCCTTCTATTTGTTTTGATTGGTTCTATCCATGAAACAGGTGTCCAAATGCTGGCTCTTCTCTGGCACATATGGTAGTTCCATGGGGGCTCTCTAGGGGTTCCCTGTCATAGTCCCCTCTCTTGGTAGAGAGTCTTACTGCTTTCTCTCCCCACTTACTTAACTCCCAGGAGAATCTAGTATAGAACCTTTTACATCTGGATCTCTACGTCTGGGGTGGCAAGGACACATGAGTTTGCTTGTGGAAGGCGACTGGACTGTAATCACTCCACTCATGGGTGTATATGTTGGGAGGAGAGGTATATTAGTAATTGGCTTCAGTCCTGCCACTGTCCATGGAGTTAGTTCAACTTACAGGAAGTTCATGTATTTTTATAGTACTAAGTGGGAATATAGGCTCTCCACCGGGTACTTCCTCTCTCTTGCTTCCCTGTTTTTGTCATGCTTCTTTCTCCTTGTCTCAGGAGAGTGAGGTGCTGGCAGGTCTAGTAGCATAGCAAATGTCAAAAGAGATCGTCACTATTTTCCCAACTTATTGACAACAGGATATATGGTGCCCTCAGTCTTGTAGAAAGGGGAGTGAAGTGCTAATGTCAAATCATCCTCCTCCCCTATGTGAAGGGGAGAGAGAAGGGATGGTTGCTGCCCCACAAACTCTTAGCTATCCAGGACCTCTTATGTCTCTTGGTTGTGAAACCTTCTAAATCAGCTTACCTTTCCCACCAGTGGGAAAGTTTGGGAAATCTGCTGCCCAAAATGTCATCTTTAAAAAACTTGACTCAAAATATTAGGGTCATTGATCCCAACAGTGAGGCTATCTCTCGCATATTCCTGATCTCTGTGGTAACTCCGAGTGTGGTAAAGATGTGAGGTGGCCCTAGCCGGGTTTTGCTCAGTGGGTAGAGTGTCGGCCTGAGGACCAAAAGGTCCGGGTTCGATTTTCCTCATCAAGGTGAGTTTGCATCTTTGACATGGGAGTTTCTCCTGGGATAACGTTACTCCATGTGCTGTCAGCAGGCGTTTTGTTGACAGAGTCTGACCCAAATCCAGTGGTTGTATGTGGCATTGATTTGGAGACAGTGGCTTTTCATAAAAAGTCAACATGGTTCAAGAAGCCAAGAAAGAGCAGCATTTCAGAAGTTCAAGGCACCAACAGAATCACCCTTGTGTAAGGCACCATTCAAAGGAACGGCATACATTGAGGAGCAGCAGCTGCTGCAGGGATAGCTGGAATGGAAATGGGATCCCTGCTCTTCTTTGTGGTGTGGGGAGGAGAAGTTTTCCTCAACCTTTTTAGGCAGGGTTCCTGGCTGGGTCTGAAAATTAAACTGACAAAGACAGATTAACAACAGAAAAACATACACATTTATTTGTGGCATGAGAGGTTCATAAGGAAATGACCCAAAGAAACAGAGCTGAGTATTTTGTGCCAGGTTTGACGGAGAGCGCAAGGCCGTGGAGGCAGATGGTAGGCTAAGGAGTAGGAGGTGATTGCAGTAACCTGGGGAAAACTTAGCAAGACCTGTTCGTTAGGATTCCTCTTGGTGTCCTTTGCCATTGGAGATAAGGGTGCTCCTTTCCTCCCAGGCACCTCTTACATGAGGGTTTTATAACCTGTTTCTGGGTGAAGGAGGAGGTCAAGCGACTTTTCTGCTCTGGCCATTTTCTCAGATTCCTTCAGCTTAAAATGTCAACTATGTTAAGATGCCATATTTCGGGGTAGTGTGTCCTGAACCCCCATCAGTGGTTTGGAACTCTTCTAATGCTGTTTCCAAAGCAGCTATTTCAATGAATGCAAATTAACAAAAAGACTGAAGAAAAGAAAAAAGCCAAGATTACAACTTAAAATGTTAATGAAAGGTTACAGTGGGTGGTGCCTGGGCGGGCTAAATAGCCATCTCAGACAGTGATGAAAGAAAATGGAATTTATTTAAGGAAAAGGGCATGGGAGATGGGGGTACCTATAGGGAAGGGCTACACCGATAAAATGGGGCTTTGGAGACAGGTTCAGGGGTAAGCCTGAGACGAACTACCGCTGCCCATTGCTCCCCTGGTTGAAGGTCTCATGGGGTCCCTTAGAGGTTAGGGACTACGTGCCTATGGGGGTAGGAGAGAAGGAAGGGATGGCATGGGTGTGCTCCTTGCAGGGAGAGCACACATTGGGTCCTTTGTCCTGATTGTATTTACCTCTTTTTTGCAGGTGGAAATCTTAGAGGACCTCTTAGGGGAGGGTCTTAATAGAATATTCATCAGCTCTACAGGTGTGCTCTTTCAGGGTCATGGTCTCCACTGATTGGTCGGTGTCATTAGTCAATCCAGCTGGTCCTGAGGCAACCATGGTGCCACTTGTCTGGTTTTGCTGCTTTTCTGGGCCTGGAGCTGAACTACAACTGAGGCCTAGATGTTATCTCTAGGGAGGAAAAGGTCAGGGGGTCTACACCACCTGACCTGAGATGTGAAAGATCTGGTGTCCAAACCGCATGACCACAGATATGCTAAGGGATGACAGGTTACCCTGGGAGTGAGGTTCTTGTTTTCTCAGTTTTGCTTCTTGCTCGGCATCTGGAGCTTTCTGCCCTGGTGAGTTTCTATACCTCCTAGACCATCATCCTTGCTCTGAGCGTCTAACAGTTAAGGATGTGAATAGCAAAAGACTTTCTAAATGAATCAACTATACTTCTATTTCAAGATGGCCATTGAGCTTATTCACCTA